AAGCTAACTACTTTCACTTTTAATTTTGTTTCGAATCTTTCTACTTCAAAGATGGAAATGCTGTTGTCGTCTCACTGGACTGCAACTTTTGGCAGCAAGTTGGGGCCTAAACTAGGCCTACCAGAAACGGTGAAATGGAAGCGCTGAGGCCAATACCTTGATTATTTGGCTTCTCAGCTAACCCTATCAATCCTGACCACAACCCAACATTAGCACCCTATCAATCTGAATTCATATTTGAATATGCATTATACATAATATATAGAGTTTTAATACAAAAATAATTTAAAGCAACAAACTCTAAAGCCAACAAATCAATCAAAAGAGATGGTTGGCTTTTCGGGCGTTCCCTTTCCTTCCCAAACAAAGCCCTAAACCGTCCATCTAAACCACCCATCTCTCACCACATTAGATCCATCTCTCTTCCCTGTAGATCACACCCCCTGATTTCCCAACTCAGAGATGATATCATTGAGCTCAAAACATGGTCTTGGAACCCTAATAACCGGACCTCGGCTTGGCTTTGTGATGGTTTGGGTCGTTTAAAGGACGTGCATGATTCTCTGCATCAGACGCGTGAACTGTTGGGCCACAAGCGTAAATGGGTCGAGAAGATCCTCGATGATTTCTTGCTTTTCGTCGACGTTTACGGCATCTTCCAATCGTCGTTCCTCGCACTCAAAGAGGAACAACTCGCCGCGAGGGTGGCCCTGAGGAGGAAAGACAATTCGAGGATCGCCTTGTATTTGAAAAGCCGCAAGAAGATGGCTAAAGAGATGGCTAAACTCTTGCCGAAAATTCGACGTGTCGGGCCGTGTTCGTTGTATGGATCGGCTTTTGTGTCTATCGCAGACACCGAGCTGACCGGAGTCATCGGTGACGTCGTCGAAACGACCGTTATAGTCTCGGTTGCCCTTTTTGATGGGATTTCGACGTCGTTTGGTTCGAGAAAATCGTCATGGATGGGGATGATACTGTCGAAAAAGGCCAAGAAAGTTGCGGCCGATGGAAGTATCAAAGAGTTCCAACAGATCGGTGAGGCCAACATGCGGGGTTTGAGAAAGAAACAAAAGACGATGAACTGAGGATAGTTTTGAACAGAATGCAAGAGCTGGAACGGTGCATACTTGACGTCGAAAGCAGCAGTGAAAAAATCTTCAGGAGCTTGATAAAAACTAGGGTTTCACTGCTCAATACTCTCACTCAATAACAACAAATAAATGGTCAAAGTTATGATCTTACAAACAAAATACAAAACAGAGGTGCAATTTACTTCTTGTGTTTATCTCCTGTGGAAAGTAGAGATGTTTTTCAGTGGTGTACAGTCGATAAATTCCGTGTACGTAAAATTTGGTCTTCGTGATATAATATAATTATAAAAATTCTGATTATTGAAATTATAAATCCAGCAAACTACAGCACATGCCAGTGCAACACCACCAAGTATTATTAGCAAATGGATCATGCTTAAGAGAAATTAATATGTATGGATTATAGTAAACAAATAATAGGACAGAGGAAGTATATGATATCATTCAAATATTATATTTGTATTGTATATGATAATTTTTAAATATATATATATATATATTTGAAACACCTTTTATCAAAATCTGTAATTGAAAATAAGCATTCCTTCATAGTTAGTTTTGCCTGCAAATTGGCTTATAATATAAATTTTGGATTCCACACCCCCACTGCCATTGACAGCAGATTTTAGGTATATGTTTTGGGCACTCTTCAAGGGCAAATTATTAGAGAGATAGCCAAAGATGTAATTAATTTGTGGTCCCTATGTTGCTCTCAATTGTGTTGAAATGAACATGTGAAATTAATCACGTTCATCGACTTAAAATTAAAACAAAAGAGCTTTGAATTCCTATAATAATTGGCATGGAAGTGGGAGATGGACTTTTGATTTGTCTTTTCATTACAAAAGTGTTATTTTGCCATAAAATCATTTCAATAAGTCAAATAAAAAAAGATGATGTTTTGAGATGATTAAAATTTGATGGATAATGGTTGCATACTTGTTAATCGTTGAACAGTTGAAAAATGGAAGGTATTAAGAAGAACATAATAGAGGTTTTGTTGTTTAAAATATATTGTAGGTGTTTTCCGGCCAAAAGGTCGGCAACACCAAAACAAATACCTACTTCTTCAAGAAAGTTTCCACCCATTCCCGTGAAACAACCAGCATAAATTTGGGTGTTCAAGAGGTTAAGGACCTGGAGAAATGCTTAGGTGTCCCCCTCCTTCACAATAGAATTACAAAGGTCACCTACCAACATATCATTCAAAGAGTTCGAGACCGCTTAGCCGGATGGAAAGGAATATCTTTATCTTTAGCCGGCGGAATTATTCTTGCTAAATCCGTTCTCTTCGTCATCCTTTACTATACCATGCAGGCTACTCTTCTTTCCAAAGGAGTGTGCGAAGAACTTGAAATGTTGTCTGGGGTAGAACGCATAATAGGGGAGGAATTAATTTGATGAACTGGAAATTCGTATGCCAACTAGTCAAACGTGATGAGTTAGGAATAAAGCAGCTCAAGAAAACAAAATGAGACTTTCCTCATGAAAGTTGCCTTTTAGCTTACATCTAGAACCGATCTACTTTGGGTTAAGGCCATGCCTAGCAAACATAGAATGGAGGAAAGCATACAGGAGTCCCTCTCTGACCGAAAAGGCTCCCATCTCTGGAAAGGTGTTAGACTGATTTGGCTTACCTTTAGAGCCAATATTACCTGGATCCCCGGGAATGGTTCGACCATTAAATTCTGGAAGGACCCTTGGCTGAAAGACCTTGGCCCCCCCGAGCGAATACCGCCTTCAACCAAACCAGATTATGAACAATAAGAGTGTTGTCAGGGATCTAGTCAATGAAGATGAACATGAAAATTGAATGAACTTGATCTTTTACTCCCATAGAATGTTATGAATACCCTAGACTTATTCCCTCCCCCGATCAGTAACAATTTAAACGACTCTTCAGGATGGAAGCCAACAAAGAACCTTAGCTTGTCGGTCAGCTCAGCATACAACACTTTGACTGAAACAGAAGATATGCCAAATGAGAAAGTGTGGATAACCATTGCAAAACACCAAATCCTCCCCAGGATCAAAGTCTCCTTTGGCTAGCTGTCAAGGAGTGTCTATTTACCAATATCGAGAGACCCACTTGCGGTGGAGTGGCGCAAGATAAGACTGGAGCGTGGATACGGGAGTTTGCAAGGAAGCTTGGTTTATGCAACATCCTTGAAGCTGAACTGTGGGGAATATATGAGGGCCTCCGACTAGTTTGGAAGATGGGGAGAAAAACAATTTTTTTAAGAGACGAACGACAAAGAGGCGGTGGACCTAATTCTTAATAAAACCAACGATGATAGTCGTCTGATGATTCTTCTGCACATCGATGCTCTCGTCAGTAGAGCTGAGACAGTTCGTATCCAGTATACGCAGAGAAAAGGTAATAAGGCAACATATATCATTGCCAAATATGCTTGGACTCGCTCGTGTGGCTTGCATAAGTTTGATCAACCACCGAATGTGGTTACTGGTGTAATTAGACAGGAGAGCATGCTCTTGAAGTAGATTAATTAGACCTGGCGTTAATACCTTTACTCAACCAAAATAAATAAATTAATTGTAGGTGCATGTTAATTATACGAGATCAAGATTTAATTTAATATTTTCTAATTAAAATTTAAGTTTAATTTTTGATATATAAATCATAAATAGAATTAAAATGTTGAACAAAAACTTTGGAAAGATTTATGATTTGTATAATATAATTAAAATTTAAATATTAATTTGAACATGAAAACTAAATCTAATTATCAAAGTGTATACTGACTTTAAATTGTAAATATCAAAAATCTTAATTCACTACTATTTGGTATCAAAAGCAACAAAAAGAGAAAAAATTATAAAATTAAAAGGTTGACATATGTCTCTTTTGAGACGTGTTTGAAATGAATAAATAAATAAATAAATAATATATCATCGTTTTGATATTGATTTGAGTTTTTTTTTTATAATTTGAGATGATTATAAGATAACATTTGTTTAAGATTTTTTTAATCATTGACAATGCATATATACTCTCCACTCGAGCCCAGAAAAGAATAAAGACGGAGCCTTTTTCATGAATGCCAGGGTGCCTCAAGAAGCAAATTAAGGGTGGCCCAAAACATCACAAATGCATCAAGTGGTGGCCTCCGGGCAATTTACAGTAACAGGTGTCTTTCAACTATCTTCGAGACGTAGCCCAAAATACATGACATACGAGAGATGCAAGGGAATTGGAATATTTTATTAGATAGTTAGTTCCATATTTAAGAGTTTTTCTTTTAGTTTCTTCTGGAGAATAGAATGGGTTCTAGGTTTCTCGAAATACATTGGTTGTAATACCGCATGGGAAGAAGGCAATTGCTGTGATTCAAAAAGAATAGGAGTTTTAAAATATGTCATCGATGATTACACGTATCACTGCCTTTATTGATAACGATCGGAGATTATCGTTTAAACACGTTCTTCTAAGGTAGTTGAATGCATCAGGATGGCCCGTAATTGCAGATTACGCAGGGTGAAGATAGGCGTAATGTTTAACCTCTTTCTTTCTTACTTCTTTTCTCTTGTTATTCAAAAAAAGAATAAAAAGAGTGCTTTCCTTTGTTTTTTCATCTTTAATTGGGTTAACATTAAAGAGTGCTTTCTGAAAACCAAAGTAAGGACGACTAGTGATTGACACATCAGAATCAGATTATGCCACACAGGCTTCGGATTTACTTGAATTGAATCATTAATTTTTGAAACTAAGAGGGACTAAAGATAGAATTTTACCATCTAAAATACTGGATTTTCTTCTGCTCGTCAGCAAACACAATTACCCTATTCTCAGAGGTTGATTACCCAAACTCTGAAAATCATAAAAGAAAAGATTGATTGCTTGAAGGAAATATATAAAGCAACTTCCTTTACAAAAAAGGTAATCTGGATTTAGAAATTTACAACCTATAACTCGTCGGTTGAAACCTGAAAAATGTTTTTCTATTCCGAAAATATACCCTAAACTAATTATTGAGCTTTAAACAATCCCTATTGTTTCATCTTCAACCCCCGTCCACAAATCTCCTCAGGCGCAGGTGCATCCCAGTTGACAGCCTTTTTCTTCATTTCCCTAAACTCACCAACACATTCCTCAAAAGTCAAATCCTTAACTTGCCGCCTCGTGGCGGCGAGTTTTTTACCGGCCACCCTATCGAAGATCGTCTCCCATTGATCCTCCCAGCCGCCATGAGCGTCGCATAGCTCGATCATCCCGTTACCCCAGTTGGTCCAGCTCCATCTCTTGTCAAGCGACGACATTACATCGGCAACGCAACTGCCTTTACAAACAGGACTACATGGCCTGCATTTTGCCCCACTCAGTGGACCTCGACTCGACAACGCCGCCACCGGCACTCCCGTATGGGTAGGCGGGAATTGGTACGTACGATCGGTCACGACGCAGAAGGGCAATCTATTTTCTACGTAGGATATTTCAGGGTGGTGAGTTGAGCTTTGAAAGCTGATTCCGAGTTGAGCCGTCTGTATCCAGCCGAGTCGAGTTTGGAGATGAGAGAAAGACGGGAGAGGGCAACTTTGGAAGTGTGAAAATCGCCGATGCCGAATCGGTCGTTAAGGCCGCCGTATACGGATCCCGAAGGAACGGTGTATCGGCCGGCGACGAAGTTCTGGGGATGTAACGGTGCGTTCCAGTAGCCATCTACTCTGGTGCGGACGATCCAGTCGTAGGTAAAATTGTGCTGCTTTTGGTGCGATTCGATCATCGTGAGACATCCCTCTACCAAATTAAAATATTGAAGGAGACCCTGCACAAGTTATGTGGTCAAATTAAATAATATGAGAAGTAAGAGGAAAGAATTGAAAGTGGTAAAAATGTTGAAAATGAATCGGCTGCGCGTGAGACTTCAGCTACAAAATGTTCAAAAATTAATAAATGGCCAAATCAGAATGTTTCGCGAAATCCAATTCAAGTCAAATTTGATGTCAATCCCATTTACCAAATCAAAACGTTTCAGAATCCCAATTCAAGCCAAACACTCAAATTTGATTATGTAACCGAAATTAAAAACGTTAACAGTTTTAACCTGGATGCCATTAGGGGAGTTCGTCGCTGTCAGGACTCGAACTTGCTCCGCAGTCTGCGGCACTAATCTCTGACCAAATATCCGAACCGACGCCAGTCTCGGCGCCGTTTTCAGGAGCGACAACTTGAAGGCGTTTTCATCCATGGGGCAGTGCAAAAAGAGGTCTGCATTAGGATACACTCTAAGAACCCTCTCGATGATCGACAGTCCAGTGAGCTCGAACCTCCTGGCTCCACCAACCAAGCACACCGCGATCCTCGACTGCAGCAATTTATCAGTAACGTTGGCCGAAGTAGTTCGATCGGTGCACCCGACCGGAGATGAACTGGTAAAATCGGAGACGTTGCTTGTGGGTGAAGATGAATGATCGGAGCGGTAAAAAGTAATCGACGGACGGTGTAGAAGATAAAACAACAAACAGAAGAATCGAAAAAGGAACGATCATCAATAAAAGGAAACGCCAATCGAGATCCGATATTCGTTTCTTAATGAACGTGGTAATCTTTTCTGCCATCTTTATCATCCCAATTTATTGTTGGTTTCCGGATTCGCCCATAAAGAGGAACTCGATAGAAATTGCAAAAATGTGCACTAAAAGAAGGGGAAAAAGAAGAATATTATCATGGAAGTTTATAGAGATATGAAGGAATATAAGACATGACTTTAAGCCAAGGAAGATGAGGAATTTTCGAATTTCATGTCACTGATGATTCTTTTGATCATATATATGTACATGCACACCATATATATCACAAATAGTCAGTACCTTTGGTTACTTTTCCCACAACATTAAAACTGGGCTTCGAGATTATATTTAGCGTGTTTGGATAGTTAGCCAACCATGACGGACCGAAGATAATAAATTATTTTAATTAAGTCAATTCGTTTCTAGTAATTTATTTATTTTATCCAAAATATAAATATATATGGATTATTTAGTAAAAAGAAAAAATATATAAAAATATTATCAAGATAATGGTACGTGTTGTTCGTGTGTGTATATATATATATATATCGTTTACTACATTAGACATAACTCTTCAAATAATAAAAAATTATGATAGAAACACGAACCAATTTATCCCAGTGGTTAAAGGAATCTTTATTATTCTTATAGGTCACAGGTTCAAGCACCAGCGACTGTAACAAGGTGATTGAGTGTTTATTGTAAAATGGTTGAGAATATTTATAACATATACTACTTTGTAATCACCTTACCTTGATAAAAAAAAAAATTACGATATAATGTACTCATATTTATGTTATTTTTGATATTTTAATCATTACAATTAGGGATGGATCAAGAGGTGGGACAGTCGTCTCACATAAAATTTAAAATTGCTTTATATTTTAGATTTTTTCTATATATTTTCTATTGAAAATTTATTTTTCTCTCATAAATTTCTATAAGTTCAAAATTTTCTCTTAAAATTTTAAAAATTCAAGTTTGCCCTCAATATGAAATCCTACATTCGTCCCAGATTACAATCATAATCGAAATAACATTTAATTAATAACTTTAAAATAATAATTAAATATAAATGTTAGTTGCTTTAACAGGATGATGAAGAGTCATTGGAGCTTCATACTATATAATAGGACTAATTTTTTTACAATAATTCATAATGCCGTATTTAGGGATAAGCACGGGACCGAAGGGAGCGATTCTTTATTGTCACGATTCTAACCAAGAAGTAAATTGTTTCCATTTGATATTGTTCTGCCCCAATGATTGATGATCATTTTCTTGTTCTGAACCTATCCTAATCTTTATAATTTTTAGAGAAAAACTTCGACTCTACTTTGATCTGATCCAAATATATTAGTACTTTAGAATAATTAAAACAATATATTTTATAATAATATTTATAAATTATTTAATATATTTTAAACAGTTAAAATAATATATTTAATAAAAAATATTATATTTTAAACAATCAAATAATCAAATTTTAATATTTGATCTGAAAAAAAACATTTTTTTAATCAAAGAATAGTCGATAAAGTTTGGATCGTTGGGAGCAAAGGATATATATTAATAAACAAAGCGTGGAAAATGTTCTTCTGGAGAGGTATTCTCAATTAGGTAGGGAGAAAAGTGATGATTATCATTCAACTGTTGATTTCTTTTTTGCTGAAAAATGTTCTTTTCTTTCCGCAATAACTTTGGGTCAGGGATTTTGACCCTAAAAGTCAAATTTTATATGCTAATCTTCATTACATTAAATATAGATCACATGTGGTTATTTTTAGTATTAAAATAAGCAATGTCATAACTCCATTATAAAATTAACATGTTGAGTGATAAAAAAAATTCAATGTATAAAGTTTAATAATTAAATTAAAAAAATAAGTACAGTTATTAAAATGAGTTAAAATGAGTGAGAGAGGAAAGTTCAATGATTAATGGGATACTTTACTCTTTAATATTATAAAGAGGAGAATTTTTAGATCTTTAAATATATATAATATATAGAGGGATTAGTAATTTATATCAGGTCAGATCAGTAATTTTTCACTTTAAATCTGATTTTATCTTGTCCCGACTCTCTATTATATACCCACTTCAAATCATCCTAAATCCGAAATTTAAAGAAAAAACCATCCTTATAAAATCGAATCGGATTAGAATCATCGAATTTAAGTACTTTGATCGTCCTTAATTGCATTTCCTGCTTATCACGACATTATTTGTTATCAAACTTAAGCAAAAACTTGAACTTAGGATGAGCAGTTCAACCACATGCAACAATTGTGATACTATTACTGGTCTTTTTATGACGTTGTTGGTTAGTGGTGCTTGCGCCATTTAAACCCGACATGGTTCGAGGGCCGGTGAAGAAAACTAAACTATAACAACAGTGATACTATTGTAACAAATCGATAATACAAAATATAGATAATGAAAATGTTACTTTTCAAAGTTTGATAGTCAAAATTAAAAGAAATCCTAAAAAAATGATATATGTTGTAATTTATTATTTTCTATTTGATGCAATATATACATTTCTTAAAACTTTTAGTTCAGAACAATTATATTCGAACCATATTTTCTTAAGTATAAAGTGATTGGCTAATTTTATATTTCCTACAAACAAATGTGTATTGTTGAATAATTAATTTAATAAAAATTGACATATAAAAGTTTTTTTTAGTCTTGTAGACGAACCGAACGAACATGATAACGATGGTATGTTCATGTTCGTTCTTTTAACTTTAACCGAAAAAACAAACGAACATGAATAACTAAATGAACGAAATTTCTTGTTCGTGTTTGTTCATTAAGAAATGTACATGTTCGTGTTTGTTCATGTTTCGTTCGTTAAAATGATAAACGAACGTTAATGAACACAAACGTATGAACATAAAATTAATTAGTTTTATATTTGAGAATTTTTTTTCTTTATAAATAATTTTAACATTCATATTTTCTTTAATTAATTTTGTTATTTTTTTATTTTGACTTATAAATTAATTAGATTTTAAAATATTAATGAATTTAAGGTTAAAATTTATTATGTATTAATATTTTAAACGGGTATGGAGATTGAGCTGAAAATAAACGAACGTTCATGGATGTAAATGAATGAATGAACCCTTTGTTCATGTTCGCTCGTTTAATAAATAAACTACATAAATGAACTTTCCTCCAAATAGTTCACTAAAGGTTAAACGTTCGATTCGTTTACAGACCTTGTTATTTTTATGTCATTGATTATATGATGACTTAAATAAAAAATAAATATTTAAATCATAATATTTTTTCTTTAAATACTTCAATTATTTTTATTAAGAAAAATATTTAAATTGTATATTTTCAATATGAATATTTATTGATATAAGTATCTATTATGAGCAGAAAACTTATAATTTTAGTATATATTATTATTAAACTTTTTTTTTATATGATATCTATTTCTTATACTCATGAATATAAAATTTAAAGTAAATATTGTATAGAACATAAAGTAATAATGAGATGATAATTTAAGTAGTTATTTAAAAATAATTGTAATACCTAAAAAGCAAAACAATACATAGTTTAGAGATTGATGTTCATACTTTCATTTAAGCCATTTTTTTTATGATTTGATGAAGCGAACAGACACACACACAGATTCATTAGCTCTTTAAACATTTTTTTTCACTGTCCTTTTAAGTTCCAGCGTTGTTTGGAAGAAGTCATGTGCCCGCCAAATGAATCCCAAAGGCAAAGATTCTGCCGATATTTTCTGTCTTACGTTGCCGTTGGCCGCCCATTTCTCTAGCTTTTCAACTCCCACTCCTTCCAAATCCACTTTCCTCATTGAACCAAATTCATAAGTGTATATATTTTGCCTTTCTTTTTCTGGACCCTTCCATGGCATGTTCTTAATCTATGGCAACGAGCAGGGTTTCAAATAGCGGACAGCTAACGCTATAACGGCCGCTAGCGGTGGGTAGCGGAATCACGTCGATAGCGGTCTATATTAAAGAAAAACCAGCAGCCTAGGACGAGGCGAGAGATTATATTGGAATATGTGAAAAATGCGCAGCCGGAGTTCATGAAATTGTTCGTGAAACGAGCCGCTCAGCAGGTTTCGTTTTCCTTTCCTTTTTTTTTGTTAAGGATTCTAATTTGTTAGGCTCTGGAAATGGAATGAAATGATACTGAAAATTGAAAGAAAAAAATTTCCCAGGTTGTCGAGGCAATGCGGCAAACAGTGACAAACATGATTGGAACATTGCCCCCTCAGTTCTTTGCTGTGACGGTCACCACTGTAAGCATATTATTCTAATAGATGTTCCTTGTTTCGATTTTGACTGTTTTTATCAGTGTTATTGAACTATACGTTGTTGGTTTAGACAATCATTGGGAGCTCTTAAATTTCACTTTAGGTTGCTGAAAATCTTGGGACAACTAATGTATAATGTTATGCTTCCTGGATAGGTTTTCAAGAAATGAACTATATATGTTCTTCATTTTTACTTTCATTATGTTTTATTAGTGTTATTAAACTTGACTGGTGTTGGTTCAGACAATCATTTGGATTTCTTTGATTTTCATTTAGATTGCTGAAAATCTTGCACAGCTCATGTACATTGTTATGATGACTGGATATATGTTTAAGAATGCACAATACCGATTGGAATTGCAACAAAGTTTAGAGCAGGCTGCTCTTCCCGAACTGCAAGAAAAAAAGGTACGTGTTTTCCCCCTTTTGCATCTTGAAAAAAAAAATCAAGATCATAGCTATTTTCCCGAGAGGCGTTGCTGGTTCTTTGCCAATGAATCTATACCCAAAAAGTAATGGCTCTCACATCACATCATCTCCATGGTGGTTTGTCCCCGAACCATGTGATTTGAGTATAGATGGATGGCATAGCATGATGTATTTAATTTCAGTGATATAAATGCACGAGTCATTTGTGTCTATACAAAACATACCTGTTGTGATTTGTTTCTATTCTTTAAGTTATTGAATCCTATCAAGTTATCTTTGCTGTCATTTACTCTGGAGAGATATTTTGCTCGCCTCAGTTTGATGTTAATGTTAGTTAACCTGAGGGCCATTACATGATATAGCTTATTTTGAAGCGATCAACAACGCAAAACTTGGTTTTTTGTATTACTTGTTAAAATGTTTGGTGACAGCTGACAATTACTGATTGATGTCTTTGATTTCCTGCTCACTGCTCTGTATTTAACTTTCACCATGTTGACTGAACTGTTTAATGGCAATACCATCTATAATAATAAACTCTTAAATGTCCAAGTATTTTTCGATGGTGCTAAAGGTCTTCATCTTTACAGGATGTTCCTGATTATGCACCTGGTACACAAAAGAATGTGTCTAGTGAAGTTATCAGGTGGAATAATGTTTCTGGCCGGAGAAAATAGATGCTAAAAGTACATCGAGTTACTTGAAGCAGAGATTGAGGAGCTAAATCGTAAAGTCGGAATAAATTCTGCAAGTCTCTGTTAGAGCCACAAAATTTGAAGGTAAACAAATGTTCTTGTTGACAGTTGATTCTATAGTTTTGTTTGAATTTTTATTATGACAAGAACTTAATGAATACTTGTTGCATCATGTATCGATTATAATTGTGTTGCTACTTGCTTCAAATGAGATTTATCTACGTATGCATTAACTCAAATTCCATGCTTTGTAGGATTTGAAAAGTAGTGCTGGAGAGGATGTGTTTGCAATGAATATGTTCTTTAAGCGTCTTTTAGCTGTTTCGGATCCCAACCAAATGAAGGTTACCATTACATTGCTTTGATAGTTTTGGCATCGTGGTTTATAGTTTCGGATCCTCTTTGTTTTGGAGAATGAGAATCCGAATTCCACCTGTTGATTTGGGAGATACATGCACATTGTGAAGAAATGTGTAACCCATGCGTACTACAATTTCATTCAAGTTTTGAAGGATACATCCTAACTGACCCATGTGTTTTGTTGCAGACAAATGTAACCGAGACAGTGCACCGGAACTCGCCAAGCTTCTTTATTGGCTCATGGTGGTTGGATACAGCATCAGAAACATTTAAGTTCGATTTGATATGGAAAGAGTACTCGGCACTCCTCCAAAGCTTGCCGAGTTGCCTCCAGGAGAAGATATTTAGATGCTGGTTGCGGACTGCTGATATAATCGGATAGCAATTTTGGAGCACATTAACATGCTATTATTTATGTGGAGAAGCAGAGGGTTAATTCAGGGTGATTTTGTGCATGCCTTACATGTATTGTCCAAAACTTATGATGATGAAAACCTTTAAATATAGCTAAATTTGGTTTTCGTCTATTTCTGTTACAGGTAAATTTTTTTTTATCAAATTCAATCCCAATGGTTTCTCTAAGTCAAATCTCTAATTTTCTTTTCCCTTAGCATGGAACTATCCATCATCACCTTGCAGGGTATTCTTCTGCCTCCAATGATTGCTCACAAACTATTCAAGGAAATCTGCATAAGCTCATTCCATAAACTCGAGGGTATTTTAGCTGCCAATGCTTATAACGCGGTTCTTGTTGAATCATATGTAGTTGGTCAATCTTGTAGTACATTGACTTCGATTCAGTGACCAAGAAACTGGAAACCCGAGTATAGCACACCATCGTAGATTCAAAAGGGCTACGGCTAGATACTCATCATCCTTAAAGACTTGGAGTATCCTTGACTCGGCTTGAAACTCATCAGACTGCACAAAATCGTCCTCATATTCTATCTTCTTTTCTTCCAGAGTTATGTCTTCATAAGAGATCATCCACATGCTCAAAACCCGCAATGCTTCCATGGCAGTGTTGTGAAATCCACCATCGATATATGCAGAGAACACAACCGCAGGTTGCAGGGCCAGGCCTGATTTTTTCGTGGTACATCTGCTCAATGATAAATTCAATTATGTCGATCCTAACCTGACATTCATCAGTGAAAACCCAGAACCGATGTCAAGAACTTGTAAAGCCGCAAAAGCACATCACCAGGAATGGTGCATAAATAGAAAATGGAGAGAACAATAAATTCAGTTGCAAAACTTTACCTGTTACCTTTTCCAAACATGCATTTGCACAATGAGTAATGCCATATATCAAGAGAGGGGAGAGAGTGACTGGAAGGATACCTTTTCGCTTGCTCTTTTAAGAATGGTATTATACAACACCACATCCATTTGAGAACCTTCTAAACATGCCTGATCCAGAAGACTTAATGCTTCATCAAATTGTTCATATTCCAGCAGTATCTTCACAAAACAAACTCGAGCATTAGAAATGAATTTTTACCAATTGTATAATTAAGTACAAACTAAATGCTTCCCTCTGCTTCTCACAAAGAGGCATTTACAGTACTGGCACAAATGAAATCCATTTCATGCATATAATGGGTTACAATATGCAGGACAGCTAAGAGGAACTTAATACTGAAGACTAAAAGTCTAGAATTCCATCTTTTAGGGTAAGAATCTGAATATTAAACTTAAAAAGAATAGTATCATTATGATGCCCAGTTCTAGAGCTATGTTTGAAACACACAGAAGAATGTTTTCCAGCATGTTATAAGAGTTGTGACTTCTTCAAATCCCAAGTTTTCTTGAAGGTTTGGTCTTAAAAATAAATAATGACAGGTTTGGGAGACAAGTTCAGGATAACAGCATGCAAATGGTTTAGAGATATTTTGAGCATCCAGAATAAGCTCTTATAAATTCCCGTTTCTCTTCAATGTGCATACAATGGGCACAATACCTTCATCAGAGCAGTGTACATCCTGGTTTCCGGAATAAAGCCATGACGCACCATCATCGAAACTAGTGCACAGCCTGATTTGAAACATCTTATATAGCTACAACAATGAACCATTACGTTGTATGTGAAAACATTTGGCTGGAGATTAGATGATTTCATATTTTTAAATATTTGTACTGCGGTGCGACACTGCACATAAGAGGGAAATATAACTTTATGAAAACATCATACATAACTTATTATAGCAATAATTGCAAACAGTAAAACTACATTGTTAGAAGCACTAACTTCTTCAGCCTCAACGAGCGCATGGAGAACTATATTATAGGTGGATGCTCCCACATTGTAGCAGAAAAGGTTTTCAGCAACATGTAAATACTGAAGCAGCTCTGTTGTCATCCCCTCAGTTCCAAGGGCTTTTAGCTGAAAATTATCCAGGCAAGCAGCAACCCTTACATAAGATTGGTCATGGTCCATGTAAGAGAAAGAGAATACATCGGCAGGAAGTTTACCAAGTTATTCATTGATTTACGACTATGATGAACACCATTTTGAGCCATATCCATTTATATAGCATTTATTCGTTTTCTTGAGTCAACATGTGACAATCTGTTCCCGCTTCATAAGGAAAATTCACATTACCAAATTTTGAAAATAGTAGCTCATATGTCTTGATATCTAGCTTTGGTTGATCCTGCAAAATTAAATCAACATGAATTTGCGCCCATGGAGCCAAATTAGCTTATTCACAGTTTGCTTTGGTTCTTGTGTCCTTGTCTGCGCTGATACCCTCAGTTACCAAGAATATATAGACTTCTACACGATCAAGTGGCTCTCATTAAAAATTAAAACGCTTCTTAAATCTATAACCTAAAGGTTTATTTTCCAAGTTCCGTCCTTTCTGCTATATGTACTGCTTTTTTTTTTTTATCATTTGCTGCAGGAAATCAGAGCCAAATAAAAAAAATTGAGCAACAGGAAAATAACTGGGATAAAGGTTTCTGAAGCATGTAACACATAATATGAAGCGACTGATTTGAGGAGAAAAATGGGAAAGAGGAAAACTGATTGGTTAACTAGTCTGCCAATGTTTCAAGTTTCATTGAAATAGATTGCAGGAATAATAAATGTTTCTTCCAGTCTTATGAGCAAAAACTTGGTTATGCACTCACATACGTACAATCAATCAAATTGAAGAGAAATATTGAATAAGCAAGGGAGAAAACAAGCAATGCGGTGTGACATTCACTTATCATAGTATCACAAGCTTCAAGAGCATTAAAAGGATAAGGATATGAGCATTTACAAACTTTCTGCAGTAGAGCTTCAGGTAAGTCGAGTTCTAATTCCTTACTACATTGTACTGAAAGAGTCGCAAGGGTTGAATCAAAAGGCTTCAGATTTCTCTGTTCCATTACTTTTAACTGCACAGAATTAAGGCAAAATGGATATTTGTTGGTACAAAAAGAAATATCACTAAAACATGACTAGTCATTCAATTAAATAACCTACCACTTTCATGCCTGCACCAAATCCTCTTGTTTGAACAATAGATCTCACAAAGCCATCATATGTATGGCTTGATGGCTGCAACCCAAGATTTTGCATCTAGAGAAACAGAAAGACCAAAATAAGATTGACTAATAGAGAAACACATCTCTCAAGTTACTTTTGATGTGAAATTTATCTCCCTATAGGACGATTTCAGAAAGAAAATCATCCTCCTAGAATTATGGTCATCAAATCAGATATTATAACTCGTAAAGTGAAACCAGAAGTCCATGGTAGAGAAAAAGTCCTACCAGCGTTATCAATTGCTCTGCTAATTCATAATCTCGAGCTTGTGCACAAGCATGTAGTACATCACTGAAAGACCACTGTAGGACTTTCACAGCAGACAAGTTCTTATGGTTATTCAGTGTATTAACCGTAGCACTGATTGACTTTGATTTATCTATGTTGAAGGCATCAGTGTCCAATTTCAAGGCAAGAGACTGCTCATTCTCTCCCAATTGAACATTTGGTGATTCTAGCTCAACTTTGGATGGTATAGGGATGTCTAATCTTGAACAATACAAGCTTACTTTACCAGTCCATCTATCAAAACGCTTCCCACTAATGGCTAAAGCCACCATATGTTGCAATGCTTCATATGCAGATTTTAAATCTTTCAATCTTGTAAAGGACCAGATAAATTTTTGAAGAGATATTATATTTAGACTGTATTGTTTTATATATTCCTTCCAAATTTCATGGGCTGCAGATAGATCTTGCTGCCAAGCTGAAAGGTTAAGGGAACAGCAGAAACAACCAGATAAGATTACCAATATGATGAATTTGTATATAAAGATGCCAATACCGTAAATAGATGAATGAAAAAAGTAACTTTACAATAGCTAACTACTCATTTTAATAATTTACATGGTAGGCAAGCTCTGAAGGGGAAGGCAGGAAAATTAGTAATATAAACCTACAATAAAAAAAACCAAGATCAAACACTGTTTCTACACACCTTAAGAAGCTCTAAATAGGTAACTTCATTTTTCTCAATCTTTCGCTGCTCCATCAAATCTAAACATTGATTAGCATATACTATACTTCTCATTTTTGCACAGGCCCTTAAGAAATAGTTGTACACTGGAAGAAGATGATAGATGCCGTGATTCTCCCCAAGAAATTTCATGAAATTGCATGCCTGAGGGAAATACAACAAGAAGAAATGAGGGAAGTTGTAATGGAGATTTGAGGAAAAGGGACTGCAGAAGCATCCATCTACAGACTTTTTAATGTGATTCCAGACAATGATAACTACATTAATGATGCACCTAAAAATATAGCCATGCAGTAATAATTCACGATCACACAAGAAAATATTGTTGGTTGTTCTAGGCAAGTTAAATGAATCAAAATCCAAATATACAGGGAGGTAATACATTTAGAAAAATCACTGCTTAACAATTTAACAAACAGAACATTTAACTAAAACAATTAGATAAAATGCATACCTCCTCCAAGTAACCTCCTCTACAAAGTGCTTGGACCATAAGAAAATAGCGTTTGTTATTCAAGCCAATCTCCCTTTCCACCATTAATCTCCACGTTTCCATAACAAACTGAACAGGGTAGGGAAAAATATTCCAACTGTTATTGCCAAGGAAAACCATTGATGTCATCTTTCTTCCTTTCCAGTTTGTCAAATATCATTAATAGTCCCATTATCTATGTCCCAAGATAAAATCTAGAGAAGAGAAACGCATTGAGGATTGCACAGTTGCAATCAGCTAACTAAAATTACATGCCGAGCAACTTACTAAAGGATCAGGTGACCTTGCACAGTAGTTAAGAATGTAAACAAAGTCATTGACTTGTAACGACTGCTTTCCATTACTGAAGTCTAAAAGCAGGCTAGAAGCTCTACTTTTCTCACCTAACCGAAGGGCATCAACAATTTTAACTTGAAATGACTTTGTTATTGGCTCTTCTTCATATCCCAAAAATACATTATCTGCATTCACAAGTTTAAGCTTAAGATTCGATATATATACACACACAGTCAAACACAAACCTAGTCTACTAATATCAATTTCATCAGTTAAATTGGAAAAATAAACTTAAAATAAACGAAGAATTTGGCTAATGAACCATTAATAGTTGTAAGAGTTCTACATAATCCTAAGCTTCTTATCAAATTTCTTCGTCCCTGCAACAACATTGACTAATTAACCAAAAGAATAGAACAATAAATAAAATTTCCATAACTGAGAATTAAATATACCATTAGCAAATAGAAGCATCTGAGTCATCAAATGAAAAATAAGCGAATTAAAGAAAAAATACGTACATGTTGAAGTTCACCCGATTTGAATCTACATAATGTTACTGCGATTGAGCGCAAAAAAAATCCTCATTCCTTGTTCTGTTACAGTATTGAATGAAGAACTCCGCTTTTCAGTTGGTTTTCCTTCTATGGTTTAAGCATTTTGAAACTCTAGTAGGATTCATAAGCTATAAAACCAAAACAATTAACAGTGTTCAATTGAACCTCATCAGTCGCTCCTTGTTCTGTCACAGTATTGAATGAAGAACTCTGTTTTTCAGTTGGTTTTTCTTCTAGGGTTTAAGCATTTTGAAACTCTAGTAGGATTCATAAACTATAAAACCAAAACAATTAACAGTGTTCAATTGAACCTCATCAGTCGCTCCTCGTTCGCTGCTTTCGAAGTTCGAACGAATTGGTTGATTTGCTGATATAGTCGCAAAAACATACGCTAGACGCAGCGGATTGAGCTAGCGCTGTGTATATTCCATTTCCACTAACCCCATTCGATGTGGTCGGTAATTGAATTAAGATTCGGCCCAATATACCTCAAACAATTGTCTAACAATATGATCCACCTCTTGGGCCCAAAATCGTCTGAGCCATGGCTCAGTAAGACCAATGACTTATTTCATTTATTTTTTAATTAAGTATTGTTTTAATTATTATTGTTAAACCCATTCAATAGTTTCAGAGATTAAAAGGAGTGTTATTAGTCTTCTAAATCTTGAATTTGAATAGGTACATGTGTAAGATATAAGGTCAGGATAATTAAGATATAGGGTCATGATAATTAAATTGTATGTTGACGGGACAAATAAACCCTATTGTCCCTAGACTACGTAAACTTGTCGGTGGTCACATCATAAGATCATAACTCATTCGAGAATTTGAGAAACCTAAAAGACATGGAACTCTGAAAATATAACCTAATGTGATTTGCGGTGAGGTATAATAGTGCATTTCTTAGTTAGTTGCAACTAACTCTTAGAAAGATGAGAAAATCTGCAGGTAATTAATTGCCATTTAAAGTGGCTTGACTGTGTGCCCAAAGAAGGTAAAGTATCTCGGTTAAATATTATGCCTTTAATGCACAGCAGGGCAATGTCATCATTATATACAAATGAAACGGATCATACAATCTCATATGCAAATAACAGTGACCGGCCTTTCATTCTGCCTGTGAAAATGGTTATGGAGGTCGAGATAGTTTCCAAGGAATTGATCAAACCCACTTCTCCAACACCCCATCATCTTAGAACACACATGCTTTCTTTTTTGGATCAGTTCCTTCCTCCAATTTATGTTCCTATGGTCCTCTTTTATACGAACCAAGAAGCCAGCATTTCATCAGCTGATATCATTGCCAACAACTCTAGGAGGGCACAATTTCTCAAACAATCTCTATCGGAGACCTTAACTCTCTTTTATCCGTTCGCCGGAAGGATCAAGGACCATCTTTCCATCGATTGTAACGACGAGGGAGCTTACTGTGTGGAGGCAAGAGTTAACTGCTCCCTTTGCGAATTTCTAGAGCTCACTGACTCGTCCAATGTTCCTCTGCTCCTCCCGGCCGAATCTAGTTGGACTACACCGAGTGCGGGAGGTTGTGTAGCCATGATACAAGTCACGACTTTCTCATGCGGTGGCATTGTTATTGGCGCGTGTATCTCGCATATGATCGCCGATGGAACTGCCGTTACGACGTTTCTTAGAAGTTGGGCTGCAATGTCTCGCAATTCTGGTGAGGAAACTGCTTATCCTAATTTTGATGCCTCTTGTGTCTTCCCACAGAATGTGGCATACCCCAGGGAGGCAACTCTTTCAGCTCTGATAACCCCATTTCTCAGAAAAGGAATATGTCGAACTATGAGAGTTGTTTTTGATGCCTCAGCAATAGCTTCACTGAAGGCCAAAGCAACAAGTTCAAGTGCATCGGATCCGACACGAGTGGAGGTTGTTTCAGCCCTCCTCTCTAAGTGCATCATGGCTGCTTTCAAAACAAAATCCGACATCCAGAAATCAACTCTTATAACCCACGCAGTGAATCTTCGTCAAAGGGCAGTACCGCCGATCCCGAAACAATCGATGGGAAACTTCCTATGCATGGTAGCTGCACTGGTGATGACAGACGAAACAAAGTTGGATAAATTGGTTTGCCATCTGAGGAAAGCAATAAGAAAAGCTGATGGCGATTTTGTTGCTGCCCTACAAGGAGACGACGGATGTCTTACATTTTGTGAGCACATAAAAGAGATAGGTAACGTATCGTGTGGTGAAGCCGGTGAGATTGATAATATTAGCTTTACCAGCTGGTGCAACTTTGGTGTGTATGAGATAGATTATGGGTGGGGAAAGCCGACGTGGGTTACATGCACTGCTTCCACTGAATCAGAAACAGTGTTCATGAATTCGGTTGTTCTCATGGATACGAAAATGGGGAACGGAATAGAAGCATTGGTGTACTTGAACGAGCAACATATGGCTATGCTAGAGCAGAACGAAGAGCTCCTTGCGATTGCTACCGTGGAACAAAGTCCAATGAATTAAGGCATAATATCAAAATTTTAAACAGTATGTAAAAGTGAGCTTCTTTTTATTTTCTTATCGGTTATTGTGAAAATTAAGACATATTATCAAAATTCGGCCTTTAACATTTGGTTGAATAAAGTTTTAATGTTTGTTTTCATTTTCCTTTGTCTTCTCCTTCGATGGTAGGAGCTTCAGCTTGTGATTGATAGAAGCACAAGGAAAGGTTGGCATCTCAGCAATAATAATAAGGCTCTTGATTGTTGCCCCAAAATAGGAATGATTGCTATAGCATGAATAGTAAATATCGGAATTCACAGATTATATTATAATGATTTCTCAAAAAAAAATTATCTAAGAGGAATTATCATATTATCTCATTTTTTTAAACTCCGAAAGATAAAATTTTAATACCTTTTGAATTCAATAACCATCATTTAATAAAAATTAAATTATACCGTTCATCACCAATTATACTCTAAATCGTAAATCACAAACCTTCCACTTCCACCCTCCCGGCCTCATGATCTCACTCTACAAATCTCTCCAATCCGCTCATTTTTTTGGCCACCCACTGTCCACGTACACTACGCCTCTCTAGCTCTCCGAGTACACCCCAAATTCTAAATCCAAATCAATAGAAAGTTATAAAAATAATAAAATTAAAATCTCCATTCAGAGTCCTTACACCTTTTAAAGTCCCACATGACGATAACACAGCAAATTCAATCGACGAATCGTCGACAGCATCCATCCCTTCCCTTGGTGTCGACATGCACCAAAATCCCACCATCTACTAGGCAATGCCATCATTCACTGTGTCACCACTCACCACAAACATCACCCCGCAATAGGCCCTCGAGAAAATCTCAATTAGAATTTTAGAGAAGAAATCACATTGCAACTTCTTGGTGTCTGGGTTGGGCCACAACAGTCTAATGTGAACATCTCTCAACCATGGCGGTTGCACCATTTTCATTGAAGAAGACAAGACGTGGATCATGTAAATCGGGAGGAAACTTCCCAGTTTGGAATCTTACCACGTCGAGTACATGACCAAACTCCACCAAACATATGATATGATGGAGAGGAGAATTACACCGCGGGTGAGTGTCGGGGTTGTGATTTAGGATTTAGGGATTGTGTTTAAGGTTTAGGTATTACAATAGTGTATGTAACTTAATTGAAATTTAGGGTTTATGTTTAGGATTCGAGTATTACAATTAGAAGACATTTGGTTCATGGAATATAACATTACCTCTGGGAATAAGATTATCGGAATGTAACATTAATACCTGACATATTACTGAGAATGTTATATAACTGTGTTTGATTTGTTTAGTAGGAATGTATGACTGCAGTGTTTGGTTAAAAGAATAAAAGATTACTGAAATGTATATTTTATCAAATTGTCCTTATTATATCTTTATTTTTAACAAGTTGAATTCTAAATATTCAAATGAAAATATTTATATAAAAATTCATAAAAATATATTATTTTATTATTTTAAATTTATATATATATTTTTATAAAATTTAGATTCATAAAATTTGTATTTTTATAAAATTGAAAAGATAACCGAGTATAATAAAAGAGTAAATATATCATATATTCTTTTAATATTAGTTAATATTAATCTTTACACCAATTATCTACAAATATATTAAAATTTTACATCAACATTTAAATATAGAAAAATATGAAAATTTTAATAGACAAATCATTTTAGTCCTACCGAAATATACGTGGGTTGATTATAAATTAATTATACAAAAATATATCCATATTTTATGTGGTCTTGATTGATATAAAAAAATTATGACTGTCAAATTCACTTTTTTAAGTCACCTTTACAAAAGGATTTAATGTATGATAAAGAATAAATGGAAGGGCATTTTGAAATAATACTTTTATTTCAAGGGTATTTCAGTCCATATTGATGAGAATCGATGAATACCTAATAAATTAGGGGTTTAGCATTCCCGGTAAAATAATCCAAAATTTTACTGTCGGAGATTATTGCCCCCGTTGGAATCTTTGCCATCCAAACTAAGGAAATAGGTTCTGGAAAAAAAATTCAAATATTATTTTCCACCCTCCAAACAACCCCTTAAGGTTTGTAGGGTATAGTTTTAGAGTTTAAAGATTGTAATTTAGGGTTTCTACATTGTTATTTAAAGTTTGGAGTTTGAGTATAATATTTGAGATATAATTCAGGGTTTTAACTTTATTTTTATTCGAATCCTACATAACAACAATAATAATAACAAATGCAATATCATATAAAAATATTAATTAAATATATAAGAGGAATATTAAAAAAATAAATGATTAAATTAAAAAAAATTAAATTTTAGTAAGAAAAAAAAAAGATAATTGAGTGATGAATTGAAAAACGTAATTACCCTTTATAAAATGAAATTGAGAATTACCACGTTGATAAACGATTAGTATAATATAACATTGGACAAATAAATTTAAATCGTCTCTACATTTTTAATAAATTTGAGGTATATATAAGGCAGTGATGAGTGTATTATTTGATTAATATTTTGTTATTAATTCATTTGTGTTACCTCCTTTTATAGTGTTAATTTGGAATGTTTTTATTCGAATTTGTGTAGGACTCTATTTTTCAGGAAATAACAATTAAAAAGTCGAATTAAACAAATTTTCCTATTTATTTGGGAAAAGTTGGCGCTAATCAGATTCAAAGATCGATCCAAGCACAAACTCTGATTAAATAATACAAGTAGCAAGATCAAATGAGGAAAGCAAGGCGGACCATAATTATTTAGGAATTAAAAAGTTGTAATTAAATTCAAACATCTTAGATTTTATTATTTATTTTATTAGGAATTTATTTTACATAGAATTTTAGTTTACCATTATTTATTAATTATTTTTTTTGAAAGAGGGTACTTTGTGTTAAGGAATTGCAAAGTACACCACCTTAAGGACCTCATTAAAAAAACTCCATAACCTTAAATGGAGAAAAAAGAGTGAACCAAGATGGGAAAAGATCAATATAAATAAGCTATAACAATATACAAGGCAAACCCCAAACCACAACCCAACTCAAGCTAACACCAATACAATCCATGCAAGAGAAGGAAATAGAACGATATGAAAGCCAAAACTGATCTAGCGCGAAACACATAAGCAATGGGAATTATCCGAACAGTAACAAAACCATGTTCACCAAACCTGCTAAAACACTACATAACACCATGACTTCATCCATCTTTCTCCCAGCATGCTAAACACAACATACAAACACTCCCCAAACGCAAATAGAAGGATTCAAAATACAATCACTCCCCAACAAGATTAACACATCAGCATCTCAGTAATCAAAAGCCACTCATTTCTAACTTCTGAAGCAATAGATGGAAAAACTTGCTACTACAACTAAGACAATAATGCACAAGAGAAGCATAACAAGACTCGATTCCTTTCAATGCTTCAAAGAAACTGGAAATATCAAACTTGTTGCTCCTCCACTATGGATGCTTCATAACAAAACTAAAATAACAACTAACTCCCACCGTAAAACACTCGCCGCTTTGTATATAACAAACACTGCTTGAAAAACAAAACAATGATTGGTTCCCCTAACTCTCCATACAATAAAAAACTTGAATTCCATATGAGAACAGCGAAAAAGTCCAACCAATAACCGACTACATTAAGAACAAAGAACCTAATAAACGCCAAATGATCTTAACAATTGGATAAATCACCAGAAAACAACTTGCCAACCGATGATTCTTGTACCCACTGCAACTCAGACTAACGATTAATGCAATCTACAAATATCCTTACACTGAGATACTAATTAATACTCAACTCCATCTCTTCTTAAAAACCACGACAAAACCACATAGACCAAAAACATTAGACCTCACGACAGCCCCTAATTGTCACACACCAAACTCAACTCAACTATGGTGAATTGAGAACATCACTTCCAAAACTAACAACTTTAATACCAAGATTCTTACCTAATGTCAATGTCTCCTCCACTCCAACAATAGCAGCTGCCCACCTTTTCTTCAGATCCGAATCTAAAAGAGATCTACCTGATAATTCAGAGGAGACTAGGTCAGATTTCAACAAATTAAGTCTCTTCAACGCTCGATCTCTTCTTCTTCTCTCATCTTTCGATAGGACTTTGTAGAGAACCAAATTTCTGCTGTTTCTTTTTCTTATTTTTTACTGGACATAACTATTTCACTAGAGTTAACAGAAGTAACCCTCACAGAAGACTTAAATAAAAGCCTCTCATCCACTACTCTGGTTGCAGACACCTCTTTAATCGGGATCTCCAAATGACTTGAACAATTGGAAAATAATTGGGTATGCCATAATTCAACATCTCTATTTAAGGCCATAAGCCCAACACTATCACCAATAGCCATGATCTTGAGCCCATCATTAGACAAATTCGGCACATCAAGCATGTTGTCTTCGAAGGCAGCACCCATTAGTGCCTCAGGAAGCATGTGCCTCCTACTAGCTGCCCCAAAGCCATTAAGAGTATCACTCCAATGATAGAGAGAAACATGCGTGGGAATCACATTACGTACTTTCTGGGAACTAGATCCTCCAGCCCATACCTCTTCAAACATAGGACTAACATCAGCATCCTCAGCAACTGAAGGCCACGCTCCACCACCAGAAAGCGAATCGTTGAACGTTGGAAGCCCTACGTGAACTTCAGTAGAGATTTTAATGGAGAATAATCTTCCATTATAGACAATAGAAACTTTCTCTGAATGTCCGAAACATATTGTACTTCCATCAAAATCTTTTCTACATCGAATCTAAACCGATTACAAGTATCCTCATCAACCAAAATCACTTTTCCCTACAGGCTTCCCAAATCCATGAAAAATTTCTCACTCCACACTGCTAGAGGAACGTCCATCAAGGAAATCCAAACTTTAATTCTAACTTTATTTTCAAAGCCCTCCAGCATATCCAACTCACCAAACCAACGATGAACCTATATCTCTCT